GGATCCTTCCTCACTTCCTCTTCTTAGACTTCCTGTCTCATTTCAAAGATCAGCACTAGGGCTGCCTTCTACACTTGCTCTTTCCCATCATCCCTGCTTCTAGTCCCTCTGAGTCTCTCTCTTCTTGAAATGTCTCATAGTTACTCTGTACATATGTCACTTTTACTTACATGTGTACGTCTTGTTTCTCCCAAGAGAAGACAAGTACTTTGAGGACAGACACTTCCATTTTTGTCTTCATATACTCCATGCCTACCACAGTACCTGGCACACAGTGGGCACTTAATAAATGTTGAGTGATTAATTTGAGCTGGTAGGAACCTTCAAAGTCCTCTAGTCCAGAGGTACCAAACTCAAAGATAAACAGGTACCAATAAATAATACATTGGGATCCCTGTTGGTCTCATATTAACTTAGAAAAACACATATTAGCATTTTTCATGTCCTATTGTATGGGAAACTAGGTGTCTCAGTGGATAGAGTGCTAGGCCTGGAGTCAGGAAGGCTCATCTTTGTGAGTTCAAATCTGGGCAAGTCACTTCATCCTGTTTGCCTCAGTTGCATCATTTGTAAAATGAGCTGGAGAAGGAAATGGCAAACCACTCCAGTATCTTTGCCAAGAAAACCCCAAATGGGGTCATCAAGAGTCAGACATGACTGAACAACAACAATTCTATCATATTTTTATTTATTTTGTTAAATATGTCCCAATTACATATTTTAATCTGGTTGGGGCACAGGAGAATGTGGAACACTGCTGCTGCTGGCTATACTTTTAATACCTCTGGTCTACTCTGACTCCTTCATTTGAATTATGAGGAAATTGAGGACCAGAGAAATTAAGTGACTTGGCCAAAGCTGCGTGTGACAGAGAAAGAGTTTCAACCCAGGTCTTCTGACTCCAAATCCAGTACTCTCCTCACCGTATGTTCTTTCTCCCAAAATATATACAAATAACCACGATAACATTTAGAAAATTATTAAAGTCTACAAGAGGCCAAACAGAGCAGCCAAAGAGATTCAAGGGGGGAAGGAATCGTTTCCCACTAGAGGAAGCAGGAAACAACTTTCAGTCAGCTCTTTGAAAGCAAGGCCCATTTTCATATCCTCTTCATATCTCCCTCAGTCCAGCATAATATACACTTCTTGATGTGAATTAAATGCAGAAAAACTCAAAGAGGAAAAGAATCAGGTGTGAAATTCTGAGAGTCACCTAAATAATCTAATAATAATAAAAATAATCTACAGGTGGCAAGGTGGCTCGATGAATAGCATGCTGGACCTGGAGGTGGAAAAACAAGTTCAAATCCCTCTCAGATACTTGTTGGCTGTGTAATGCTAGGCAAGATGGTAACTATCTCAGTTTACATATCTGCAAAATGGCAATAATAATAACAGCCTGGCTCCTGGGATTATTTGAGGGTCAAATGAGATAAGTTTTATAAAGGTCTTTGCAAACCTTAAAACTATACATAAATATTATTATTAATGATAATAATAATATTAAACAGTCTGTAAAAATGATCAAGAGCTGAGGGAGACCCCTAGCAGGGAAAACAGTTGGACAACAGGGAATTATCATTCATTCACTTTTGATGCTGAAATAAGCTCATTTTAAGAGGAAAACCTTCTAGATTCGTCCTTTTGATCATTTGTTTTCCCAGATCTTTTGATGGAGTTCTAGCTCTGTGACTCCTCATCTGGTTAGCCTGGGACAACTCCCTTAACATAGCTGTGCCTCAATTGTCTAATGAATAAAACCAAAATGAAATGTTCTTTCTTACTGGAAGGATGTTGCAGGGGATTCACCCTTTGATTCTTGGTCACTTGGCAAGATGAACTGCTAGACAGGGCTAACCCTTGAAATAAGTACTATTTGTCCTATTTCTGGTATCTATGTTTATATACTGATTCCCGCTTTAAAAAAAAAGGTGAATAAAAAGGATCTCATTCTCTTATGTTTTGATTTTTCCATTGTTTCCTTGCTTTGAAGTCTAGAGGATTATAGAGAAACTACATTGCTTTGCATCTTAAATCCTAACTGAGCAACCTCTACACAATAGAAGCTAAAAATGTTTGGAAAATTCAATCAAACGTTCTATAAATGTGGGTTATTATTATTCTGTTTTCTTGGGACCTTGCTTCCCTAGGGTTTCAGATACTATAAAGCTCACTAATCAAAGGTCCTCATATCCTTCTCTTCGCTTCCCAATAAATCTAGCTATCCATCAAAAAGGCTTTATCGAGCACCTACTGAAACAATAATAATGAGTTATGTATTCATTTAGTACTTAGGATTATAAACTACTCTGCATATAATCACTCATTCCTTAACAAGTACAAAGGGATATAAAAGTACTTGGCTCAGAACACTTTCCATGACCCAACAAAAAGATGACCTCAATCATCTCAACAAGATGTCAGTGAGTGTACCCACACCTTCTCTAGAAAGATGCAATCTATAAACAAAATCCTTCGGACTTCTTCATTTAGTCCAAATTAATGCTTCACCTATCTAGGAGGTAAAATGAGATGCTTTCTCACATAATCAAAGACCCAAATATTCCTTTAATCTTATTAAGTGGACCTGGCTCTACTAATCATCATTCTTCTTTGATCTTAACAGTGAGGTAGGCAGCGAAAATATAGCATCAATGATCTCCAATTTCATTGTTTTGGAGCAGATTATTATAATTTTTCTAAAACTATATGTGCAGATATTGGCATTATTCTGATTTTATGCATAGAGTGGCGGTGGTACAATGGATAGAATGCTGGGCCTAGAGTCAAGAAAATTCATCTTCCTGGGTTCAAATCTGGCCTTAGACACTTATTAGTTATGTGACCCTGGGCAAGTCATTTAACTCTGTTTGCCTCAGTTTCCTCATCTATAAAATGAACTAGATAAAGAAATGGCAAACCACTCTAATACCTTGCAAAGAGAATCCCGAACAGGGTTACAAAGAGTCAGACGTCACTGAAAATGACTGAACACAAAATTTCATACATCTTTCTAGAGCATTTTGCCTAAATCTCTCCTCTGTCTCTATCATGCCTGCCTTATATTAAACTTGTTTATATGTTGTACTAGTTTTGGAGGTCTACCCTCAAAGGATTCAAAATTCTTTGATGGTCATATGACATAGCATAAAGAGCACTAGATTTGGGGTCAAACGACCTAGGTTCAAATCCAGACTCTGCCAATTACTATCTGTGTAACCTCGGGCAAGCCACTCTCAGGCTCCTCATCCATAAAATGAAGGGTTGGTTTTGGATAAAGATGATGGTTTCAGAGAAAACTGGGAAGACTTGTATGCACTGATGCAGAATTAAGTGAACAGTACCAGGACGATAATTTATACAATAGCAGCAATATTGTAAAGGCAAAAAACTTCAAAAGATTTAGGAACTCTAATACAATTATATAATATAATTGTATAATGTGATTGTGTTATATGATATATTATAAATATGTTATGTATAATATTGTGCACGTATGTCTCAATCTGCACTCTGAGTCCATCACCTGTTAGGAATGAAGTAGAATGTTTCATCTTTTAGTCGTCTGGGATTGTGGTCGGTCATTTGATTGATTAGAGTTCCTAAGTCTTTCAAAGTTGTTTGTCTTTATAATATCATTGTTATTGAATAAATTGTTCTCCTGGTTCTGCCTACTTCATTCTTTATCAGTTCATATGGGATTTGAATATATGTGTATAACTGTAAATATATGTGTTATATGCATACACATACATAAACACACACACACATGCACACATACACATATGCAATGTAGGAATTTGTTTTGATTGATTATACACATTTGTAATGGGTTTTATTTTTATTACTTTCTCACCTGGAGGAGGAGAGGATATGGGAGGGAGAGAATCTAGATTTGACAATAAAATAAAATTTAATCCGCAAGATACATAAAATAAAATGAAGAATTTGGATTATGTTGCCTCTGCCAACTGTACATCTCTGATCCTTTGGAAGAGTCATTTCTAATTTTGGATCCCCAATGCCAAGTATAGCACTTTACAAATAATAATTTTTTAGCTGAATTGAGACTTCAGAGCCTCTGAATTGCCAATAGGAATCAGAGCTGATCATACTCATGTCTTTTGCCTCCAGACCTATTCTCTTTCCACTGCACCACACTGCCTCTAAGGAGATGCACTGGGCATCTAAACCAAGGTTAGATGAGTTCAGTGCTTCAGTGAGTGTTTACCAAAAATCCTCAGTTACAGTACAGTGAGTACAAACTAACTTTACACTGATCCTGAGATACTAAATACATTTCTCCACTTCCACTTGGGGAAGGTGATGAGACAACAAAGAAAGCAGTAGGTTTAAAAAGATGTGGCTCTCCTACCTACTCTCTTTGGACTCTTGGGCAAGTCAGTTACACTCTGGGCCATTTCCTTTTCTACAAAATAAGGAGATTAAACTTCCAGGGCTCTTAACCTAAGGATAGTGAACATGTAACAAATACTTTATATGGGGTAGCTAGATGACACATGGGATTGAGTTCCAGTACTGGAGTTAGGAAGACCTGAATTCAAATTTCCACTTAGACACTTACTCACTGTTTAACCCTGCGCAAGTCACTTAACTTCTGTTTGCCTCAGTTTCCCCATCTTTAGAATGGAGGTTATAATAGTCCCTACCCCTCCAATGTTGTTATGAGGAACAAACAAGATAATAAATATAAAGCACCCGTTTACCATAGCACCTGGCCCATAATAAATGCTATATAAATATTAGCTACTTTTGTTATGATAATAACTATATTTCAGTAAAATTGGTTTCCTTGGTAACCTTCTGATTTCATTTTAAGCATTTAAAAACATTATTTGAAAAGGGGTCCACAGATTTCACTAGCCTGCCAAAAGGATACATGGTCTATACTGTCAGGTTTCTTCTAGCAGTCAAACACTTGGATCCAATACATTATTTCCCCTGCTGACTTTTTATCTGTCTTTCAACAGATAGTTCTCAATGACAATGAAAAGCACCCTCATTCTGGGTTTGCTCTTTGCTGGATGTTTTTTAGCCATAAATGGTCTTCAGCAGCAGAAGCCCCCTGATAAAAATCATCAAGGTACACACCAGGCCAGACACCCACTCCAGGAGTCAGAGGAGAGACGAGCTGGAAAACAAATTGTTGGCCGAAACACTGAGTTTGCATGTAAGATGTACCAAGAGATAACCCAGAAAAGTAAAGATGAAAACCTCTTCTTCTCCCCTTTGAGTGCTTCCACTGGTTTCTCCATGTTGACCCTGGGGGCAAAAGATTACACTCTGTCTCAACTAAGTGAAAGTCTCAACCTAAGGAATGTGCCCACGAAGAGTATCTATGAAGGCTTCCATTACATCATTCACAGTCTTAATAAACCTGACAGAGATCTCAAGCTCCACTTGGGCAATACTCTATTCATCGAGGACCAGCTGACAGTCCAGAAAAGGTTTCTGAATGATGTCAAGAGTATTTATGAAACAGAAGCCATCCCTGTGGATCTCAAGGACCCTCAGAAAGCCATTACACAAATCAATGATTATGTCAGTCAGAAAACCCATGGGAAAATTAACCATTTGATAAAGAATCTGGATCAGGGCATGATGTTACTTCTGATTGGCCATATTTACTTTCAAGGTAAGCCTTGCTAAAGAAAGACATTTATATAAGGCTATAGAGCATAAAAATGCTATGCCCATACTCTTTATTAGAGCCTCATCATAATCCTAAAGATATTTAGTATTTGGTTTTAATTTCCCTCTTTAACAATGTAGAAAGAGACTCTGACACATGAAATAGATTAGAGGCAGCAGGTGGCACAGCGAATAGAGTGCTGGGCCTGAAGTCAAGAACATCTGAGTTCAAAATGCAACCTCAGACATTTATTAGTTGAGTGACACTGGGCAAGTCACTTAACTTCTGTCTGCCTCAGTTTCTTCAAGCATAAGAAGGGATCATGATAGCACTTACCTCCTAGGGTTATTGTAAGGATCAAATGAGGTAATATTTGTAAAGTGCACTACTATGCGCAGTGCCTGGTGCACAGTAGGTGTTTACTGAATGCGTGTTTCCTTTTATTCCATGAGATGACTTGTCCAAGGTCATCTGACATCTAGCAGCTGTCAGATCAAGTCCTGACTCCAGTCCTAGGGATATTTCCAGGAACACAGTCACCTCTAATCAAAGACTTGGTCATATAAGAGCTAGTAAACTCTCCAAACCTGAAAGCATAGGACTGAAAAGATGTAACTTCAAATACTTAGGAGTGTCATATTGTACTTTTCGGTTGGTTGTTTTTGTTAACAGCACTGGCATAAATCAAACATCAAACAGAGTTTGAACTAAGTAAGAGGTCTATGACACATTGGAAAGAATGCTAGATTTGGAGTCCAGAGGACATTAGGTCAAATCCTGCCCCATGGCTCTTCCTGCCTATGTGACCTTAGTCAAGTCATTTAACCCCTTAGTCTCCTCATCTGGAAAATGAGGGAGGTTGAAGTAGATGGCCTGTTAAGATCCCTTCCCCATTTTAAGTCTATGATTCTATGTTTTTTAATATTTTTCCAAGTCTACAACTTATAGCCTAGCTAGCTTTGCCACCATCAGGGCAATTTAGTACCACTCATTTTGCCCTTTTTGGGTCTTGGACATCATCTAGTCCAGACTTCTCATTTTATCAATGAGGAAACTGAGGTCTCTTTTAGCTCTTAGCAGTGAGTCTGTGATTAGTGAAGGGCCTCAAAGTTATGTCATGTGAGGATCATTTGAAGGAAATGCTTGGGTTTAGTCTGGAGAAGAAAAGCTTTCATGAAGACATGAGAGCAATGTTTAAGTATTTGCATGACTGTCTTGGTGAAGAGTAATTACATTTGTTGTGGTTAGCCCTAGAAAGCATCAGTAGGAGTAAACATAGCAGAAAGGCAGATCTTGGCTTAATGTAAAGAAAAAGTTCCTCAAAATTAAGATTGTCCAAAAAGGACTTAGAAGATAGTGAGTTCCCCATCTCTGGAAACCTTCGAACAGAGAATGGACCACGGGTGACAACTTGGCAGGGATGCTGTCAAGAGGATGACCTTGAGTATTGCCTTCAACTCTGATAGTGATTTACTTATTCCATGGCAATGATGGGTGGAATTACCTACATTAGTAGATTTCCAGACCTGCTGTCTTAAATTCTTAAATCAGCTTTTCTAGAAAATAAAATAAAAAAGGAAATTCAAAGCTAAGCAAAAAACAAGGGGGAGGAAGAGGAAGGGAGAAAGCAGTAGCAGAACTGATCACTATAGTGATCTAACTTGATGAGTATTCCAAGAATTTGCCAACTCATCCCTGTCTTCCCATAGTAATCAAAGTGTAGCAGGAAGATGAACGAGGTCCTATTGGCTAGTCTAGGGGATCCATACTACTCTGCCTCTGAGCTGCTTTCCTGGGTCCCAGATAATGGGTGTTAAAGTGCTTCGAAAAAATACAAAGTATGACTATGCAGTTAGAAACCTTCTAAAAGTTGTATAGTAAAGTTACTGCTCTTCTGAAGTGACTAAAACCAGCCCTGTAGCCAGTTTGTCAGCTTTCTGTAGGATGTAAATATAAGATCTTCCAATGATTATTTTCCAGCCTCTAATTCTATGATCCCCTCAGATGCCTCATTGAGGGGAGGTAATTCTGGGCTCTTGAAGTCTATGTCAAGGTCCTACAACTTCTGACAATTCCTCCTAATCTCAAAAGGCTTTGAGTACAGGTCCAGCAATAAAGTGTGAATCTGTCATCTGAGAACAACCTAGCTAAGTGCAGAGGGGTTATCATGAGAAGATTCAACACTAGATGATTAATTCTCTGGTCAGAACAACTCAGGAGACCATCTACTAAGAAATACAGGGGCTATAAACTGCTTTGGTGGAGAGAAGATTGTTACCTAAGAAATCAATAACACTAAAAGTATTGAAGAAGTTCATATAAGCAAGGTCTGTCACTGTCCTAGGACATCTGTCACATTCTTTATAATGTCCTCCACCCACAGCCCATTCCCAATGCTGAGATTTAGAACTCAATCCCCCTCCCCACCCCTGCTTCAGATCTGTGTATCTGGTGACTAAAAGTTCATTAGGCCCTTTAATCTCTGCTTTCCTAGAATTATCTGTCACTTTTTTGTCTGTTTTCACTCCCTAAGCTGAATGGGAAAAGAAGTTTAACCCAAAGGACACAAAAGAAGATGACTTCTTTCTGATCAATGGGAAATCAGTGAAAGTCCCCATGATGTACCGAGGTGGCAAGTACAAAACTGCTTATGACGACCAGCTCTGCTGTACAATTCTAGAAATACCTTTTACAGGAAACATGACAGGGCTTTTCATACTCCCAGACAAGGGGAAACTGAAGAGAGTGGAAGAAGGGCTCAATAAGAACAAGCTGACCCAATGGAGGCAATCACTGAAGTGCAGGTAATGAAGCTTGCTTGTGCATCCCTCCCCATTAGCACAAGTTCCCATTCTAAACATGGTGTGGCCTGGCCTTTCAATTCTTGGGACTGAAGTACCTCCTATGTTCCAGACACTCTGCTAAGCACAGGGGATACAAAAGAGGCAAAAGACAGTCCCTGCACTCATGGAGCTTACAATCTATTGACGTGAGAAATAATTCATTCCAAGCCTCTCATTTTACAGCAAAGAAAACAGAATCCCAGAGCAAGGAAGTGATTTGTCCGTGGTCCTATAAGTAGAAAATACCAGTGCTAGGATTTAAAAATCATCTAAAACCATATCCAACCTAATTCCCAAAGTATTAAGTGCCAGCTACGTGGGGCAGCTAGGTGGCATAGTGGATAGAGTGCTGGGACCGGAGTCAGGGAGACTCATCTTCCTGAGTTCAAATCTGGCCTCAGTCACTTACCAGCTGAGTGACCCTTGGTAAGTCACTTAACTCTGTTTGCCTCAATTTCTTCATGTGACAAATGAAAAGCCTGAGAGACAGAGTTTCTGGGTAATTAATAGCCAATTTATTAATTAGGCTAGCAAATAATCAATGAATTAATGGTCAGTGGTCTCTCAGGAGCCAAAGACAAAACCATGGAGATCACTGAATGCTTAAATACCTTTGGGAGAAAAGGTGCCAGGTGAAAATCAATCCTAATTGGTGAACAATTAATGAGGGGATAGACATATTAACAAAGAGTTAGGCTAAAAGTCTTCAATACTTCCTGCTGAGAACGTGACTCGATCCTGAGGTTCAGCTGCCTCCAAAAATGTGGATAAAGGAATCTATCTCTACTCAGACCATTCTGGCTGATTTTCTCCTTCATAAGCTGGGTCACACCAAAATTGAAATGGAGGGTTGCAATGACATGGGCTCATTTCCTAGGGGCAAGAATTCACTTAGATTAGATTCAGTTTATAAGGTCTTCTAGTTAGGTGGGGTCCCACCCAAGATTATGGAGCATGTATCCAGAGGATTTGAGCAATCTTATCTATCAGCAATGTCCTTGAATGAGGACATAGAAGGGAAGAACCTACATACTAATTGAATAATTGGTTATTAATATAATAGAAAAATAATAGTGTCTCTCCTTCATCTGTAAAATGAGCTGCAAAAGGAGAACCACTCCAGTAATTTTGCCCAAAAAAAACCCAAATGAGATCACAAAGTTGGACACAACAGAAAAGGACTGAACAACAACACACGCTAGCCACTACGAACTTTTATTTAACCAACCTATGATTTCATTGGTATAGAAGGCACAGAGAAAACAGCCTTTCTTGATCCTCAACTGCAACTGTCCTTCAGCATGTAGTCTTCAAGCATTACCTGGGGCACTGAAAGATCTAGGGACTTATCCAGAGTCACACAGCTGTATGTATCAGATGTGAGACTCAAAGCCAGGTCTTTCTGATGCCAAGGCCAGCTCTCTATACATTATGCCACATTGCCTCTCTAGGCACTGAGGATACAAAGAAGAAGAAGAAAAGAAGAAGAAGCCAATTCTAATCTTTCCACTACCCTGCATCGCCTCTTTCAATACCACCAGTTTCTAGGTGAGGTGGAGGGTGGTAGGTCCTAACTTCTACTCTGAGAATTCTGATTTTGCTCATGTGAAATAGTAGATACTTCCCATAGTTCTTCCCCCATCTCTCTCAGTAGGCCTAAGTCAACTGGTGTTTAACAAACCCTTGCTAAATGCAGTAGGTGAGACAGCATCCCACAGCATCCTTCTGTGTCCTGAAGGGCTTCCTGTCAATTTGGGCAAAGAAGACATAGACATGTGAAAAAGCCCAAAAAGGCAAAAGTTAAATGACTCTACAAGACAAAATTCTAAGAAATAGTGCAGGCAGCATAGGAGAAGTGTCACATAAATAATACAGACAAAGAAACTAATAATGTCCAGAATGACGGCCCATTCCTGATACCCTCCACTCTAGTCAAATAGTCATGGGCACTACATTTTAAAAGAGATAGTGCTAAGTTGGAACATGTCCAAAAGAGAGTAACCAAGATAGGGAAGAGATTCAAAACCAAATAATATGAAGAAAGACTGAATGACTTGAGGATATTTAATTTGGAAAAGAAAAAAAAACTGAGACAGTATGGAGTAAGGGGAGATATGGTTAGGGGATTAGTATATAATAGCTACCTTCAAATATCTGAAGAGTTATAATACAGAAAAGAGATCAGATATATTGTAACTGGCTCGCAAGGTTAGATTTAAGACCAAGAGGTGGAAGCTACAAGGTAGCACATTTCAGCTCGACATAAGAAGGAATTTCATAAGCTGCCCCCAACAACGTAATACTCACTTTTATGAAGGCTAGAGAGTGGAATTGGGAAGACCTAGTAGCAAGCTATTGTAATTGCTTGAGTGATCAGTACTGAAATGGCTGTGCTAGGCTGGTAGCAACAAGATGAAGAAGGGGGTCCTTAGACCTCCAGCAAAGAGGAAGAGGAATTCTCTCCCCTGCTCCCTCTGTGCCCGTAACTACAACCACAAGGCAGCAAGAACATGGGGTTGCTTAGGCAGGCCTGAATCTTTGGTCACCTTCGACTTTCTGTTTTCTTCTCTGATTATCAACCAAAACCCAGCAATCTGGAGACATGGATGCTTTCAACTGTGGTCATCACTTAATGAGTGCCATAGGTGAGGAGTTTTTGATCCTGGAGTGCTGGCAACCCAAGGGGAGGTGATTTCAAAATAGCACTGCTTCTTGGAGGAGAAGAGAGCCATTGTCAAGGGCATTCTACAAGAGAAGGACTAAAATGTAAGCCCAAGACACGCCCTGGCCATTTAGGATTTCCAGACCTCATGAGTTGCTTGAACAGTGCAGTAGATCTGGGGTAAACGGTAATTATCTGTTCAGCAATCCAACAAAATTATCTTCATCTCTCAGAAGAATACGAGTGTGAAGTGTTGTTTTATGTTTTTCTATGTTTGTTAATGGATGAATTTGAGTTCTTGGGTGTCTTAAGCATTTTCTGTGGTGGAGGAAATAAAACTATAAATCGATACCTAATATTCATATTATTAACTTGAGTGTCCTTTTCTGAAGAGGACACTGTTTATAACACAACAGGACTCAAAGAAGCATGTTAACAAATACAGAAAAACATAAAATAATAGCCCCTCACACTTTCAATACTCCCCTAATAGGTAAAGACAACTTGGTATGATAGGAAAAGTGGTTTTTCAGATTCATCTCAGGTTTGCACTGTCCAAGTAATTCTCAAAGTCCAGATATTCTAGTCGACCAGATTGTGCCCTGGACTTTCTTCTGATGCAGAGTCCTCCTGACAGTAGAGCTCTTCTCTTTGGAGAAATACTCTCATTGCAAAAATTACTCAATAGCCAGCACCTGACAAGAGAAAACTTCCAACTTCTGTAACTGATGAGGTTATTACTAGACTTGTAAAGATCCATTTTTCAGGGTCACTGTTTACTAGCCTATGCCCAAGGGAACAAAACAAGAAAGTGAAAGAAATAACCAGACACAAGTCTGAGGTTGGCATAGTGTTCAGTCAGTTGTCAGTCATGTCCTACTTTTCGTGACCCCAGTTGGGATTTTCTTGGCAAAGATACTGGAGTGGTTTTCCCTTTCCTTCTCCAGCTCATTTTATGGATGAGAAAACTGAAGCAAGCAAGGTTAAGTGACTTGCCCAGAGTCACACAGCTAGTAAATGTCTGAGGCCAGATTTGAATTCAAGAAGATGAGTCTTCCTGACTGCAGATCCAGCACTCTATCCACTGCACCACCTAGCTCTATATAGGCTGATTGTCATTGCTATGTGTTCAAGCTGCAGACCACCATTAATGCTGGGGAAGGGGGAGTACGGAGTGGAGAGAAAGAGACAATAGAGAAAAATATAGAAATACTCTTCCTCCCCTTGCCAAAAGCCCAAGGGAGAAAAAATTCCTAAAGGAAAGAGCTAGCTATTTCTCTAGTTTCTCTTACAACACATTGATTGAGCTACTCTTGACTCTTTGACCAATCATCTTCCACATAACCCCTCAGTTATGAGGATGGACCAATAAAGAACTGCTGGGTCATTTCAGCAAAGGATAATGTTCACTCAGCAAAAGAACTAGGCTGTAGGTCCACTCCAGGGATTACTCCTATTACATTTCCATTTCTATTTTGTAGTCATTTACTTCCCTCTCTTCTTCTGCTTTCTTCATTTTGCAGCAGTTCATATAAGTCTTCCCAAACTTCCCTGAATTTTTCATATATGCCCCACATCTCTAAAGCCCTTTTCCCATAACAACTTTGTGAAGTTGGCAATATAATCACTAGTCTCTTTCTCTCTCTCTCTCTCTCTCTCTCTCTCTCTCTCTCTCTCTCTCTCTCTCTCTCTCTCTCTCTCTCTCTCTCTCTCTTTTCTCTCTCTCTCTCTCTCACAGCCAGTATATAGCAGGCACAGGACTTACAACCACTTCTTCCTGGCCCTCAGGCCAGCTCTCTATCCATTATAGATACTGCCTCTTTGTACACCTGTTTCACAGAGCTGGAAAACCAAGGCTTAGAGAGTGCTTTGCCCAGGGGTTATCCAGGTCTCTTCTGATTCAAAGTCAAAGGCTCATTCCATTGGACCACACCACTTCTTGCTTTGGATGAGAGAATGATAGAATACAGGATGTCAGGACTGGAAGAGACCTTAGACTAAATGAGCAGGTGATTATCTAGTCCAGTGGTGTCAAACTCAAATAGAAACAACTCCCTCAGGACTGCATATTGACTTAGAAAACCACAAATCAACATTACCTGTATTACATTTTTTTAACTTTTGTTAAAATTTCTCAATTACATTTTAGTTTGGTTCCAGGGCACTGGAGAGTTTTGTGGCCTGCTAGCTATATGTTTGACGCCTCTAATAGCCCACCCTTTTATTTCCCAGAGGAGAAAACTAAGGCCCAGAGGGGGAAAATTATTTGCACATGATCACAGCACATAATTTAATCAAAAGGCAGAATCAAGAGCAGAACCCAGATCTGATGACTCCCAACCCAATGTTCCTGACTCCATGCCATTATGTGATGCTACAAAAGAAATATACACAGGCAGCTGTGTCCAGCTGTTTGGCCTTGATGCTGGTTCAGTCCGACCCATGCAGGCCATGTGATCTATGAAAGGACATCTTGTCTGTAGTTACCATAAAGTCTCTGTCTGGTGAGGAATAAATGTTCCTAACTGTTGCAAACGTTCTCAGATAAAATCACAATTATATGAAAAATATGTAATACACCCAAAGGATAGGCCACCTCCTTTGCAAAGGCAGCCCAACAGGTTTGCATTCAGGTCACCAGAAAAGCAACAGAGCCAAGTCTGAATGGGGCTATTCCCCAACATCTTGGTAATCAGGCAATGGCAATGAAAGTGCTGGGCTCTCTCTTTTTGAAAGTCTAAAATTTGGAAAAAAATAATTGATATCTTTTGTTTTTTACATCACCATCATTTCTGGATATATCTGCCCCCTTCCTCTTTGTACCCATCCAACCATAGCCGTCTTTTGTAACGAAGAATAAAAAATGGGGAATTTTTTTCTTTAATTTCAGGAAAGGCAATATATTAGCTAAGTCTGATAACATATGCAATGTTTCATACTCATGGTCTCCCACTTTTACAAAAAAAAAAAAAGGAGAAACATGTGTTCCTCTCTTCTACAGAGCCAAGTTGTGGCTATTGCTGCTACTGTTGCTCCTTATCTTTCTTCATGGTGGAAGCTTCATTACTGTGGATGTTCTATTAGGAAGGCAACCCTTGAGGATTTTAGACTAGATGGGATTTCTAAGGTTCTTTTGGGCTCTGACATTCTATAATTCTCTGGTTCCAGGCCCTAAGTTCACCCTGTACTTTTCTTCTCAGAGACCCTTCTATGTCTAGCAGCTACATTCCACCCAGACCTTTTGTCAGTCCTGAGATCCCAGGAGATAAAATGACCAGGTCACATTCTGCATCTCTAAAGGATTTCAGCTCACCTATATAATTATTTGAAGATCCTATACTGGTCTTACCTAGCTGAGTTGAGATACACTCAGTCAAAGTGTGGGGGGGGGGAAATAGGTAAATTTCTGGTTTGGTTTCCTTATTGAATATCCCAAATTATCACGTGATGTTTGTTCCATGTGGCTTTACCCTATACTCCATCCCTTCCAAAGGCTAATAGAAATTCCCATCAAGGAGAAGATTTCTAGTGGCAGGTTCTTCCTCCTCCCCCACCCCAACCCCAAGAACTTATATTGAGAGCACTCTTCATTCTGTGATCCTTTTCTTCTCTCACTACACTGTTTCACTTGGTGACGAAGCAGCTCCAGTGGGTTTAAAGATCATCCCTATGCAGATGACTCCCAGATCTATCTGTCTGTCTGTCTGTCTGTCTGTCTGTCTATCTATCTATCTATCTATCTATCTATCTATCTATCTATCTGTCTGTCTGTCTGTCTGTCTGTCTGTCTGTCTGTCTGTCTGTCTGTCTGTCTGTCTGTCTGTCTGTCTACTCTATCTATCTATCTATCTATCTGTCTATCTATCTATCTATCTATCTATCTATCTATCTATCTATCTATCTATCTATCTATCTATCTATCTATCTATCTATCTATCTACCTATCTATCTATCTAGATAATGAATAGAGTTAGCTCTAGTCTATCTCCTGATCTCCAGCACTTTATTACCAACTGCTGAGCAGCTAAGTGGTATAGTGGATAGAGTGTTGGTCCTGGAGTCAGGAAGACCTCTCTTCCTGAGTTCAAATCCAGCCTCACATACACATTTCACTTTTCAATCATTGTAAAGGCATAGAGTTTTTGATCTGTGGGAATGGAAAATAGGAGAGTCTCAACCTTCTCAATAAGGTAACAGACAACGTTATCTGCTGAGATAAAGCAAGGTTAGGTTGATATTTGGGGCTTGGGGAAAATGGAAAAGCCATTGTGGGGAGTGTAATAGGTTGCTGAGCAGAGATGAAAAAGATTGATGTACAAGGGGGGCACAATAAAGATCAGATAGCATGAATGTGTAGTAGGCACAGTCAATGTGGTTTATTGCTATATTCTGGCAGCATTTTTTGGCTCTAGAACAGAAGCCAGAAAAAAGATTTGGACAGAGAACTAGAAGGACAAGAGGGGTATGATCAAAGGGGAAATTTCAGAGTTTAGGAATTTAGACATAGTGCAATTTGGGGTGATGACCATGTTTAAAGGTCTATGTCTATGTGAATGTCTCTCTGTCTCTGTCTCTCTGTCCTTCTGCCTGTTTCTGTCTCTGTCATCATACAGATACACACACACACACACACACACACACATCCTTGCAATGAGTGGGTGATGTAGAGAAAAACTATTAGCTCTTACTTAGCTTTAGGCTTTGGTCATTGTTAAATGAAAATCCCTCTAAGAGAGTAAAAACCTGAAGCTGTTCTCAAAGTGAAATGAACGAATGAAGCTTAAGGTGAATGAATGTTCATCATAGGATCATAAATATAGCGCTGAAAGAGATCTTAGAGAAGATTGAATCCTATGCCCTAATTCTACTGAATCATTTATCCAAGGATGTGCGGATAATAAAGTGGCAGAACCAGAATTTGACTGTAGTTTTTTATAAAGGAAAAGAAGGTCCCTGAAGTGGTGACCACCAAAAGACAAAAGTTGGTGAATTGAAAATTGAGGATGCTAAAGACAAATCCTGCCTATTTCACAAAATCAGGCAGGGCTGGCTTTCCTCCCAAGGTATTGTAAAGGTACTATTTAAACCACAGAATGCACATGCTTTAAAATCTGTACTGGAACTTTTCTCTGATGATTATTTTATTTCCCCAGTCCTGTTGATGTGTCTATGCCCAAGTTTACCATCTCTGGTACCTATGACATGAAAAAGTGTCTCTCTGGGCTTGGTGTCACCCGAATCTTTGATGGAAGTGCTGAGCTTACCAAAATCAGTCCCCAGAAGACTCTGAAAGTTAGCCAGGTAAGATAACTAAAGCTTAACTTTGAACTGAAGCTATTTCTTTGTAGCACCCTCCAAAATGGCAGCCATTTTTCAAACATCACACCTTACTTTGTTGGGGGGTTTTGTGTCAGGTGGTTGGAGGGCAAGTTCATTTAACAGGAGCCCCCCATTTCTAGTAGCCAAGGTACAACATAAATCATTACAATGCAGTTGCAGTCTTCACCATTTTTATGCCCACAGAGACTGACATGTTACTTTGCACACAGTAAGGACTCTATAAATGTTATTTTAAGGAATGAATGAATGATAAATTGAACTTGACATGACAAGTATATTTTAATTGCTTAATATATTTTAGCTTAATATATTTAGCTTAATATATTTTGAAAGCAATATGTAATTGCTTTCAAAGTCTTAGCCATGCAACTGTCCTCATATGCTATAGGCTTCGGGAAAATGTAGAATGTCCATTACAGAGAAGATACCATATCTTGGCTAATACCTCAAGGAGCTTATGGGAGTATGGTCTAGTGGAAATAGCACCAAGATGAGGCAGAAAATCCCAACGTTATCAAGTCAAGAAACATCCTGACTCCAGGCCCAGCACTCTATCTACTGCACCACTTAGCTGCCTCTGGTCTCAAAAAGATATATTTTTAAAATCCCTTCTTCCCTTCTACAGGTTGGCCTAACACCTATGAGTGGAATTAGTCATCAAATAGGCATTTATTAACCACCTACTACATACCAAGCATTTGCTAGGTACCAAGAATACAAATATAATAGATTAAGCAATCATTACACACAAGTAGCTCACATTCTAGAAGGGGAGACAATAAAGATATATATATATATATACACACACATACATACATTTACATATAAATACATACATTTATGTATATACACACATGTGTATTTATATATTTGTATATATACACATAATACATATAAAGAAAATAAATACTAAGTAATTAAATATAACCTAGTTTGAGAGGGAGTACACTAGCAGTTGAGACTTGGGACTCAGGAGACTCAGGAGAAAGTATTGAAAGAAGGGAGGGATTCTATGATCTGAGGTAAGGAAAGAGTACATTCTAGGCATGGGGAAGAATCAATGCAAATCCATGGAGACAAAAGATGGAATGTTGTGTGTGGATAACAAAAGAGAAGGCCAGCTTTTCTGGATCACACAGTGTAGGAGGAGGCATGGTGTGCATGACACTCAAAAAGTAGACTGAAAAGTCTTAAAAGCTAAAATAAAGAATTTTCTATTTTTACCTATAGGCACTAGGAAGTCACTGGAGCTGACTAAGTAGGAAAGCGACATGGTTAGATATGCACTTAAGAAATCACTTTGGCAGTAGTGTGGATGATGGACTGAAGTGGGAAAGACTTGAGGAAGGGACCAATTAGAAGATCATTACAATAATCTAGGTAAGATTGAACTAGAGAGTAGAGAGAAGGGGATAGTTGTGAGATGTATTGTGGACCAGTTTGTGATGTAGTATTAAAACTCAGGAGAGAGATTAGGGCTAGAGATGAAGATCTGAGAGTCATCAACATATAGGTGACAATCAAACTTCTGGGAGCCAATGAGGTCACCGAGAGAGTATATATGGAGAAAGATAGAGATAGAATAGTGTTGGAGATGACGTTTATTAGAAGGATGAAATTCTTTAAAACTACAACCACATAACAATACAGCAGGAACTCACAAGGTCATAAATTCTCTATTACTGAAAGCATTCATATATATATATATATATAGACTGTACATATAGAAAATTTATGGTTGAGGTAGCAGGTTCTAAGTTCTCTTCAAGAATCACAGAATTCTGGAGTTGGAAGTGACTTCAAAGATCATCTAATCCTCTCTCTCTCTCTCTCTCTCTCTCTCTCTCTCTCTCTCTCACACACACACACACACACACACACACACACACACACACTCACTTGAACAGAAATCCCATCTAGAATATCCCTAACAAAGATAATGAATACAAAGCACAAAAAGGGTTGGAAGAGCACCAGTTTATGGTACCAGAGAGTTCTGAATTGAGGGGATAGGACACATTGGTAATGATGAGATCAATGGCATGAGACCAACAGCTGTAGTAGATTGGATTGGAGTGAAGAAGGTTATGGGAGTTGAAAAGGCTGATGAAGTAGAAAGCAGGGATTTTTAACAGGGACTTCTATATGTATATTGAATTCCTCAAATATAGGGACATGGATAAGGAGTAGAGATGAAAACAGGGAAGCAGTATTGAGAAAGAAGTGGGGATAACTGTCATTAGGATCTGAAAAAGGCCACCTATCTGAATGCAGCAAACCACAAAGAAAGAAAGATCTCTGGGTGTTGGTAGCAAGAGGTAGGTCTAAAAGTGGCAGGTAGGAGTAGGAAGTATGCCTAAAGTCCTTTCAAGCTCAATATCTAATGACCTTATGATCCTCAATGGTTTTCATAACCATTATGATAAACTAGCCTTCTGCTCCACGAATTTGTCAGATTTAAGGCCAAAGGTTAAATCCCATGAAAACAAATACAGTATCATAACCATAAAATCTATATAACAAAAAAGATTTCCAAGTTCCAGCCCCTTGCCCATTTTTTTTTTGAGCAAATTTTGATATGGCAAAATTCCAAGACAAAAGAACTTGGAAATATTTTTGGAGTTGGGGGAACTGGGATTTGGCCCTTCCTTTGTCATCTCATTTATTCAATATCTCTATCACAAAGGAAACAGTCTGTAGTCATACGGCATAATGTGAAATAATCATTAGTAGACTTCTGGGTCAGGTGACCACCAAGATGGCAGATTAGTCACTTTCTCCAAACCACTTTTACTCTCAAGGGGGGACTGGACTTTTGATTTCATTAATTATAAGGAACTCTTGGGCAAGTAAATTCCTTGAATTAATGCCAGTAGCTTCTCCAAAACAATATTAAAAAACAAATGGAGGAAAAAAACACAAGTCTAACTCATAGCTTTAAATGTTATTAACTAAATAATCCAATCAAATGAAAGTAGCAGAATAGATAAGAAAGCAAAATCTCATAATCTCTTGTTATCCTCAAAAAAAAAACTAATCTAAAAAAAACAAAGACACATCAGAATTAAACCAAGAAGCTAGAACACAACTTACTATATATATCAGGCTAACAAAAAACAAACAAAAAAACAGGAGTTGTAACCATTCTATCATAACAAAATTAATCAAAGTTCCAAGAGTATACTTTATGGAGCTAGACAAAATAATAACAGAATACATTTGGAGGAACAAAAGATATAGAATATTAAGAGGAATAATGAAAAAAGTAGGACTAAAGAGGGATTAGAGTTTCTAGACTGCCAACAATATTATAAGGCAGGAATAATCAAAACAATTTGGTTCTGATATTTCAAAAAACAGAAAAGGAGATCAGTGGAACCACTAGACAAATAAGAATCAGAAATAAATGAACTAGTAATATAATCTTTGATAAACCTGAAACATAAATTACCTAGGAAAAAAAAATCCCAATTTGATAATAATTGCTGGGAAAACTGAAATGTAGTCTGGCAGAAATTAGGTTTAGTCCACATCTTACACTATATTCCACAATAAACTCAAAATGGATACCTGACCTGAATAATAAAGATTATTTCATACAGGAGTATTTGTGGGATCTTTGTTCCCCAGACCCATTCCATACCTTGCTCCCTCCCTGATTTTATTCACACTCCACCTCCCAGGCACCCAGGTGACACAATGAACACTGCGCCTGTAGTTAGGAAGACGAGTTCAAATGCAGTCTTAGATACTTAATAGTTGTGTAACCCTAGGCAAGTCACTTAACTTCTGTCTGCCTCAGTTCCCTCAACTACAAAATAAACATAATAGCACCAACCTTCCAGAGCTGGGTTATTATGAGGATCAAATGAGGTGATATTTGTAAAATGCATAGCACTGAGCCTGGCACATAGGTGGTGCTTAATAAATACTTGCTTCCTTTCTTCCCTCATCTCTGCCTATTAAAATTCCATTCATCCTTCTAACCCCAACTCAGATGGTACCTCCTCCATGAAGCCTTCCCTTATGCATAAAAAGATCCTAAGATTTAGAAGAACTCCCTCTTTTCATAAAGGAGGAAGCTGAGGCCCAGAGAGGTTAAATGATTTTTCTAAAGTCACACAGGTAACAGAACCAGGATTCAAAATTAGGTCCTCAGACTCAAAACCAAGTCCTTTTATCACTGTGCCACCAATTGGTCCCCTAGCTGAAACCAATCTCTCCTTCATCTGATTTCATAGCATTTTTTACTTCTCATAAATTTATTCAAATACACACCATTTCCCTACTAAATTATAAACTCCTGGAAGGGAAGTGACAGAGTCCTATTAATCTTTATATCTCTTGCAGTTCTAAGCACACACCTATGCATATTGTGGTTTTTTGTTTGTTTGTTTGTTTTAAGGAGAGGAGTGTTGAGAATCCAAATGCGATTTACTCCCTTAACCCACAGATTGTCAATTCCTCTGTAACGTTCATTCTTAGAGTTGACTAATTAAGAGGGTAAATCAGAGCAAGTCCTATCCCCTAGCCTACTGCCTCTCATTTTATAGATAAATATATGTATACTGTAGATGTTTAATAAAAGGTTGTTGGCTAACTAGATGAATAAAATAAATTCAAAGGTAGTTTATTGTTCCATCCTAGTTAGAGTTGTTGCATGTGGAGGAATGGAGTGTCTTTCAAAGAATCTGACTAACTGATCCTTGGTGTCTCTTCTTCTAGGCTATTCATAGAGCTGTGTTGAAGATGGATGAAAAAGGAGCAGAAGCTGCTGGAGGAACTGGCATTGAGACCCTGCCAATGACCATTCCCCAAGTCCTAAAATTCAACCAACCCTTTGTCATGATGGTTATAGATAACATCACCCAGTCTCTTCTCTTCATGGGGAAAATAATGAACCCAAAATGAAATTCAAATAGCAAGCATCTCTGAGGCTGCCAAAGGTTTCTTGCTGTTGTCTCTGAATAAATGTTATGATTTGAAATTATTGAACTGGTTTATCACCGGAAATGATCACAGCAATAACTCGTATTTGTGGTTCTCCATAACAACCCAGACTAGCTCCTTTCTATTGCCTGCCGGGTGATTTAGTATGAATCAAAGCATGGTGCAGCAGAATGTTATGTTGGATTTGAAGTCAGAGAGCCTAGGTTCATAAGATCAGAGATTTAGAGCTGGAAAGGACCTTAAAGTCCATCTAGTTCAATACCCTCATTCTAAAGATGAGGAAACTAAGGCCCAGAGATGTTAAACAACTTACCTATGAATGTCACACAAGTAGAAAGTAATCAAGCCAGGAATCAAACATTATTCCTTTGACTCTTACTCTAGCATGCTTCCCATGGACTGTCCTGACTCTTCTGCACCTCAGTTTCCTCATCTGTAAAATGAGGAAGTTGGAATGGATGACCTGTAAGGTCCCTCTCAGAGGCACATCTTGCATTCCTAAGCTGCACAATGAATTTCCCAGCTGTGTTCCCAATTGTCAATAAAGAGCCATACACACACAAAAACTCACCATTTCCCTTTTACCTAATGTGGCCATTTCTGTGAGGAGAAACAATGGATAGCTGCCTCTTCAAATGGATTTCAGGAATATTTTCCTTCCACCAGCAGTTCAAAATCCAACATTAGAGCTTCATTCCTTTGTGTGAGGAAAAGAAATCTGTTCATTGACACAATACAAATTCCTGGTAGAGAAAACATATTAAGCCTTGTTGGTCATCTGTATCTCAGTAAAAATGGCTTTTTCTGAAAGCCAGTTTGGATAAGAGAAAGGAGAATGAGGAGGCCAGTGTGGGAAAGTAGGGATGGGGAGGAGGCAATGTAGAGATGGGGAAGGGGCATAGAAAAGAGACACTGGGAGAACTGAAAACAGACTTCTGGTTTGCCAAGCATTATCCTTGCAGTTAGCCCCTAAAGTAGGTTTACAACAGCCAGCATCTCCCCAGATACAACCCAAAATGTAATAATGGCACATCATTTCCACCAGAGGGTGCATTGTGGGCAGCCTACAAACCCTCCCAGGCTCCAGAGTTATCCATCCTGCACTCCAAGTTTCTGGAATCTCTTCCTCTTATTGACCTTGCAACCATCTCTGCCTCAGCACTCTCATAGAACAGTCATTACATCTCCCCTAAGTAGCTAGGAAGAAATTGAGCCAGCCTCTTGACATAGTTTTTTTTAATTCTGCAAAGAGTAGAGTGCAGTTGAGAAAGCCTTTCAAAGACATCAACATGGTAGGATTTGGAGCTAGAAGGAAACTTTGGGATCATTTAGCCCGACCCTCTCATTTTCAGGTGTTCTTAGAGGTGATCACACTGACAACGAGTAGAAGTGCCAGAATGCAAAACCAGGCCTACCAACTCCTACCAACTAGTATCCTTTCTGCTACATCATGCTCCCACTCACTCACTCATGGGGTTATATTAGTCATTTCCTCTCTCTGGTCTTTAATTTCTTCTTCACTAAAATAAAGAAACTGGACTAGTTCTCTTAGGTCCCTTCTTTCAGTGTTACTATTCTGACACAAGGTATTTCTCAGCTCTAATCTTTTATGTTTTATGGTTATTTCCATTTTTACATTCCACATTTGTGAATTTTCATTAAAGAAAATTAATCAATCAATAAACATTTACCTAGTACATACCAGGCATTGTGGGGTAGAGAGTCAATCTCAGAGCCAGCAAGTTCTCAATTCAAGTTATGTGACCCTGAGCAAGGCAATTTTTCATTTAATTTTATTTTTTTCTCCCACCTCTTACCCTCCACGGAAATTTTAAAAAGGGGGAGAGCAAGAGAGAGAGAAAGAGAGAAAGAGAGAAAAAGAGAGAGAGAGAGAGAGAGAGAGAGAGAGAGAGAGAGAGAGAGAGAGAGAGAGAGAGAAACAAAACTTTGAATCAAATAAGCATAGTTAAGCAAAACAAGTTATTATATGGGCCACAGCCAAAAAAAATGTGTTTCATTCTATACTCTGAGTTCATTCAAACGTCTCTGTCAGAAGGAGGGTAGAATACTTGATCATCTGTCCTCTGGAATGATGGTTGGTCATCAGGCTGATCAGAATTCTGAAGTCTTTCAACATTGTTCATCCACAATGTTGTTATTGCATTAAAATAATTATCCTGGTTCTCCTCTCTTCATTGTGTATGAGTCCACACAAGTTTTCCCAAGTTTCTCTGAAACCATCTCTTTATTTCTTACAGGAGAATAGTATCCCATTACATTCATATAACATAATTTATCTAGTCATTTCTGAATTAATGGGCACCTTTTTAGTTTCCATTTCTTTGCCACTACAAAAAGATCTGATATAATATTTTTGTGCACATCAAATCTTTTTGTCTTTCTTTGATCTCTTTTGGGTATTGCATGGCAGTGAGGCTACTGTATTGAAGGGTATGCACAATATAGTAACATCTGAGAGGATAGTTCCAAATTTGTGCAAGTTGCTTAGTGCCTTAGGCAACTCTCTAGTATAAAACACAGAAAGGATATAGCACTGCATTGGTAGAAGCAATTTCCTCAAAGGAAACTCCCAACGTCAATTAAATCATGAGTCTGAACCAAAAAGAAAAATGTGCCAGGCACTATGCAAGAAGTTGGAGTATAAATATAAAGACTGGACATTTACTACCCTCAGGGTAGTACATTCATTGTATTGGAGGTAGGGATGGCCAGATAAAATGTGTTGGCAAATAGGTAAGTAAAGCAAAAGCACAAAATAAACACACCTTTTTTCCTCCTCTGATGTATTCCAAAAAATTGAAAGAGAAACTAGCAGAAGACAGTGGGCGAGAAGAGGGACAGTCTTACTCATAGGCAAAATAGATGGTTTTCTATAATGTAACACAATTTGAGGGACAGAGGACACCAAGTATAATTGCCTGTAATTTCACCACAAAAATGTCATTCCTTTGGGTCAAGCGTTGGCTCCTACTAAAATATAGAGTATTTGGAAGGGATCACATGAGTTGTCTTCAGTCATCAGTGACTTAGAAGGGTAATGAGTTTAGCAGAGTTTCTCCAAAATTAATAATAGCTAACATTTATATAGTGCTTATTATATGTCAAACACTGTGCTAAGCTCTTTTCAATAATTATCTCATTCTATCCTCACAACAACCCTGGGAGGTAGGTGCCATTATTATCAACATTTTACAGATAAAGAAACTGAGGCAAACAGAAGACAAATGACTTGCCAACAGGTTACACTGCCAGTAAGTGTATGAGGCCAGATTTGAACTCAGGTCTTCCTGACTCCAGGCTCAGTGTGCTATCAACTGTACCATCCAGCTGCCCACATAAAAGTGAAATTTGAACATGAGGTAGAATAGTAAGGAGATCTAAGGTACAGGATACTACCAAAGGAGGACATACCTGTTTGCAAATGGGAGAATGCTGAAAAAGGAGTTCCCTTCTTCCAAAACCAACTCAATCTGTCCGTGGTGGTGCATGTGTGTGGTCCCTACTATTGGGGAAGTTGAGACTGGTAGATCACTTGAACTTGGGGGTTCTGAGCTGAAGTGATCTAAAGCTGATCAGTTGTTGCCACTAAGTTCTAGTACCAATATAGTGAGGCCATTGGGAATGGGGGACCACCAAACTGCCTGAGGAAGGGTCAACCAACCCAGGTTGAAAACAAAGCAGGTCAGAGGCAGAATCAAGACGGCAGAGAAAAGCCAGGAAGTTGCCTGAGCTCTCCACAGTTTCCCTCAGAAACAACATTAAATCAAACCTCTAAATAAATTCTGGAGCAAGAGAATCTACAAAAAGATGGAGTGAAACAGTTTTCCAGCTTAAGAGAACTTAGAAGGACTTCAGGAAAGGTCTGTCTCACTTGGGTAAAAGGGGAGCACAGCTCAGCACAGATGGTGTCTGGGCAAGCTAGCAGGAGGCTCTTAGCCACAGCACAGATAAACAACTGAGGACCCTCAGTCCTGGATCAGCAGGCCAGTAGCATAGCAGGCCAGCTGTGAGGCCTCCAGACCCAGTGCAAAAGGCAAACTGCCAGCCCTGGAACCCCTGACCCAACAGGCATGACTAGGCTAGTCCAGAAAGCCAGTGGCCAGGCCCTGGCCCTCAGCACAGATAACTTAGGACAGTGTCCCCTGTGCCACAGGAGCAGAGTTTTAAAACTTTAAAAGTCATGAAATAGGTTTAAAAATGAGCAAACAACAACAGCAACAGAAAAGAACTCTGACCATAGAAAGCTACTATTGTGACAGGGAAGATCAAAACACAACCTCGGAAGAGAACAACAATGTCAAAATGCCTACATGCAAATCCTCAAAGGGGAATATGAATTGGTCTCAAGCCCAAAAAACTTTCTTGGAAGAGCTCAAGAAAGATTTTAAAAATCAGTTAAAAGGTAGAAGAAAAATCAGGAAAATAAATGAGAATTATGTAAGAGAGAGCAAACAGCTTGGATAAGAAAGGACAAAAATTGACTGAAGAAAACAGCTCCTTAAAAATATATATTTGGCCAATCAGGGAAAAATCCACTGAAAAAAACAACTCCTTAAAAAGTAGAATTGGCCAAATGGAAAAGGAGGTACAAAAGCTAACTGAAGGAAATAATTCCTTAAAAATTAGAATTTTGCAAGTGGAAGCTAATGACTCTATGAGACTCTATGAAACAAGCATCAGTCAAATACATTTTTTTAAATGAAAAAAACAGAAGAAAATGTAAAATACCTTAATGTAAAAACAACTGACCTGGAAAATAGATCTAGGAGAGATAATTTAAGAATCATTGGACTACCTGAAAGCCATGATCAAAAAAAGAGCCTGAACAGCATCTTTCAAGAAATTATCAAGGAAAACTGCCCCAATATCCTAGAACCAGAGGATAAAATGGTCATTGAAGAATCCACCAATCACCACCTGGAAGAGATCCCAAAATGAAAACTCCAAGG